AGTAAATATCTAATGAACTGAATGATTCAGGGTTTGGTCAAGTTTCTAACTGTCTGACAAAGAGACTCAAAGGCCAGAGAAAGTAGAGCCAGTTTTGTGTCCCTAAAGAAAATAAGAGGAAAAATGAAAATGACAGCTCACCTTAGGGAGGGTGGGTCTGGGTGTTATCATTATAATTTGGACGGTTTGCTTATCTATTTCCTGCTTGTTTGTTTTTTATGGACATCGGTTGAGTACCTACTGTATGCCAAATATAGTACTAAGTATTGGGTAATCAGAGATAAAGAAGGCAGGGTTTCTTTCTTCAAGAAGCTTGAAGTCTAGGCATGCCTGGCTGGCTCAGTCGGTAGAGCACGTGACTCTTAATCTCAGGGTGGTGAGTTCAAGCTCCACGTTGGGCATGGAGCCCACTTAAAAAAAAAAAAAAGCAGCAGCAGCTTAAAGTCTAGATGGAAAGATGGACAATTAAACAAATAAGCCCCATTCATCCTAGGGTGGAGGGGCTGGGTTCTGTAGGCAATCATATTAGTATTAGTAACTTGACTATGATAATTACTACAACCACCTTGCATTTGAACAGCATGTTTTAGTTTAGCACTTTTTGTTTGCAGAATATATTTAACTACCTTATCTAATTAGATACAGAAGGAAATCATCTAAAAAGAAATGAATAGCTTCTAAGGTGTTAGCATTAAACCTTGGGTATTACAGTGCCCTGTGCAGATTTGCTCTTCAGTCCTGGGACTCTCATTCCCAGCCACTGGAGATGCAGCTGCTCAAGACTGTATCCCTGGACCTTGGGGAACCACCCTGCCCTGTTTGAGGTTACTCCCACTCCCAAAGGCACCCTGAGGCCAATGACTGGCTGATTCTGATACAATGGCCTGGCCCACCTGCTACAATTTGTCATACATATAGGGCCGTACTAGCTTCAAAGCACTAGGATCTGCTGAAGCCTCTTGTCACTGTACATTGGATCATCTTCTCTCTCTACCCTGCCTTCTTCACTTCCTTAGAGGTAAGGATGCAGATAAATCACAATACACTCACTTAAATTTGAATTCCAAGTAAAAAATGCAGAATGTTTTAGTATTAGTATATTTAAATATTTCATGGGCATCCTGTATTTTTATTTATCAAATTTGGCAACCCTATTTACAGGTGTAACTCTCAAGAGCACTCCCCAATAAATGTCCCATGTGCCACTCTCAGCCACAGATTTTTTCTAGGAAACGCATTCACTAGGAAAAAGTATATAGTCAGTAAGCAACCAGGAGAACTCTGAACTAAACGGAAAACTCAGAGGGGAACAAGAAGAGGATCTAGAAAGATCTCTTTCACATTTGGGGGGGGGGACATATTTCAAGTATAAAAGACCTTTATACTTAGAAGCAAAGACAGATTGAGAAGTTTCGGTGGCCATACAGGCCCTTGGGATTATTTATCCCAAGTGTGATACTGAGGCTTTAACTCTTCGCTCTGCCACACAGGATATTGGCTCTGGGTCTGTGGGCTTGTGTATGTATTACACCAAAGCACACGGACTGTACTGCCTAAAATTAGACAGGGACTGTAACCAATCTGTGACTCATCACCCACATTTCTGAAAGTCTCTTTAAAAGTTGATCACTTCCTCCTTTGTGGAACATTTTTCCAAAGTGCCCCAAGCTCCTGGTCTTTCTGACAGTTCAGTGGCTGCTTCTTCCTTGTCTCTTCGGCTAACCCTGCTTCTACCTGGCCTCTAAACCATGCGGGATCCCAATGCTGTTCCTGGCTCTTTTCTCTCTCTAAACTCACTCCCTCTGTGACCTCACCTCTGCTCTAAGTGCCATCTCCAGGCTAATGACTCCCAAATTTCGATCCCCAGCCTCAGCCTCTCTCAGAGCTCCCGGTTCTCATGATCGCTGCCTACTCCACATCGCTACTTGCACGTCTGACAGGAATCTCAAACCTAGCATGTCCAGAGCTCCACTCTCGTTCCCAAACCGGTTAAGCTTCCTGACTTCCACAGGTTAATAAACAGCATGATGATTTATTTATTCAGTGCCTTGAGCCAAAATCTAGGAATCATTCTTGTGCTTCTCTTTTCCTCATAAACCTCATCCAATCCACCAGTAAGCTAGTGGAGTTTTTCTCACCGGAAAGCAATTCTCTGACACAAGCTATGCTGTCCTACCATTCAATTCAATTTTGACACTGTCTACCCAGAGCAGAGATAGCATCAGATCCCACTAGTGAAGAGCTCAGACCCACAAGATGCCCTCCACTTCAGATGCTAATCACAAGCCCAGTTTGTTAGCTGGGCTTCTGAACAAAAATCTGAGGTTCCTATGCCTCCCTTCCTTGGGTTGGCTTAATTTGTTAGAGCAGCTCACAGAATTCAGAAACCAGTTAAATCACTAGCTTACTGGTATCTTACAAAGGATTTTAAAGGATATGAATCAAAAGCCAGATGAAGAGATACATAGAAGATGTACATGAAGGGATCCCAAACAATGGAGCTTTTGTCCTTGTGGAGTTTGGGGCCCAGCACAAGGCACGTGGAAGCGTTCTGGTTCACCAACATGGAAGCAAACCACACCCCCTCCTTCTGGGGTTTTTATGGAGGCTTCATTGCATAGGCATTATTGATTAACTCCTTGGCCCTTGGGGATTGTTTGAACCTCTAGTCCCTTTCCCCTCCTTGGAAATCACGGTGTGGAACTGAAAGTTCCAACCCTCTAGTCCTGGTTGGTTCTTCTGGTAACCAGCTCCCATCTGTAGGTGCTTTCCAAAAGTCACCTCATTGACATAAACTGTTGTGAACAACAAGACATTCCTTTCACCTTTATGGCTCTGAAGTGATTTCAGAAACTGAGGACAATAGATCAAATATTGTAACGAAAGATGCTCCCGCTGCTCTTATTGCTCAGGAAATTCCAAGGGTTTTGGGGGGCTGCGAGCCAGGAACCATGGACAAGATATATATATTATTTCTTATAAATCTTTCTTACAAATATATAAATTTATATAAATATAAGTATTTCTTGTAAATCTTATAAAAAATATATATATATGTATGTGTTTCTTATAAATCACAATGTTGAAATCTCCCCCCAGTAGAATGTAAGCCCCTCAGGGGAAGCCACCTTGTTTGGCTTATTCACTACAGTTTCTTTGGTACCAAGCAATGTGCCTGGCACGTAGAAGGCACTCAGTGTTGACTGAATGACTGAAAACAGTCAGTTCTGCTATAATGCTTGTTCTGTAAAACACTAATTTGTTGCAACTCGATTCATAAAGAAGAGAACAATTTGAGCATGATGTGAATTTTGGGTTTGCTTACATGCAGTTTCGTCTGTCACAAATACTAGGCATTTTAGCTGAGCCGGGCTGCATAGGAATACACAACACATACTACACACACCTCATGAGGTCAGTGAGCCGCACCTGTCCTCATCTGGTTTTACGACTTTCCACCTGATTTCAGATAACCCTCTTTCAACCCTGTGATGGACTGAATCGTGTCTCCCTCCCAAGTTCATATGTCAAAGCCCTGACTTCCAATGTGACTGTATTTGGAGATAGAGCCTTCAAGGAGATAATTAAGGTTAAATGAGGTCATTAAGAGTGGGGCCCTAATTTAATAGGCCTGGTATTCCTCGGAAGAAGAGGCAGAGCCACCAGAGCTCACTCCCTCTCCCCACGCATACACCGAGGAAAAAGGCCGTGGGAGGACAACGTGAGAAGGCACTTGTCTGTATGAAACTGCTTAAAAGCATAACGTTGAACAAAACCAACATGGCTGCACTGATGCCTCAGCCAGGCTCGGTTTTAAACTAAGTAACCTTTTTCCTCTCTTCCATAAACCTCCCCTCCTCCGTTCCTAGCCTTTTGTTTCAGGAACCCAGTACCACCCCGAAAATGACTAACTAAGGAGGCTGGCAGCACCTACACAATTCCTGTCAAAACTGGCTCGATCCTGTATTTCCCTATATACCCCCCAGCCCCTCCCTTGGGGCGGGCTTGCAGGTTTTTTGGAAGGCCTTAGGCTGCTGTAGTCTCCTTTGCCCAGCAAAGCAATAAGCTATCTTCCTCCTTTATTCACGAACTCTGTCTCCGTGTTGGGTATGTCGGCTCCTGAGCACAGAGGTCAGTTTTTGACAACATGGGAGCCAGGAAGAGAGTTTCTCCAGAAACCGAATCCGCTAGGGCCTCCATCTAGGACTTCCAGCTTCTAGATCTGTGAGAAACAGATTTTCTGTTGTTTCAGCCACCAATTACGGCAGCCCGAGCCGACTAACACAGACCACTTGACAGTAACTCAGAAGCTACAACTCTGTTTCCCACAGCCAGCACCCTCCCTCCCTCCTTTTAATGTTCTCCTCTTTCCTCTCTGCCTTTTTCTTGCTCTTCCTCTCTGTTCTCTATTCTTTTTTTCTTCATCTCTTTTATGATAAAAGCTTTGTCTCACTTTTTTTCTACCTTTCTTCTCTTTCTCTGTTATACGGGATACACTGGAAGCTTAAGTACAAGCAACTGTAAGACCTTTTTAAAGGTAAAATGCTGCATTTATTATAGTATTCAGTGTTTCTTAGCCATGTACCATGTATGAACTGTGCTGTCATTTTTGTTAGGTTTCTATCATCTTTTTTTTTTTTTAAAGATTTTATTTATTTATTTGAGAGAGAGAGAGAGAGAGAGAGAGAGAGAGCACATGAGAGGGGGGAGGGTCAGAGGGAGAAGCAGACTCCCTGCCGAGCAGGGAGCCCGATGCGGGACTCGATCCCGGGACTCCAGGATCATGACCTGAGCCGAAGGCAGTCCCTCAACCAACTGAGCCACCCAGGCACCCGGTTTCTATCATCTTTTATGTGTTCCTCATGAAGTTTGGAGTGTTATGCTCCCGATCCCAGTTTCTCATGGTCCTGTGGTTTTTCTTGCACAATTCTGCATATTGCAGTGATTTTTAGAAATGCATATGTTGGGTTACATCAGAAATGACTCTTTTATCCTCACAGAAAATTAGAATTAGAAAAGTTTATCTTACAGATGAAGCAAAAGATCGAAGCATTATGCGTAAGTCACAATGTGTTCCTATTTACTGTGCCAGGCACACTTCTGTCTTGTAGCTTCTGATATTAATCCTTATTTTTAGCATTAACAACCATCTTTAATCTGATCATGTTCAAAGGAAGTTGTCTTTTTGTGTTGATATTTGCCTTGGCAAAAAGAAATAAGGATATGACTTAGATAATTTAGGTCCCATGTCCACCACCACCAACGCGGAATGGATTGAAATTTTCAATGGTATATCCTTATTACTGGACTCAATACATTGAGTTGACAGTTGCTTGATCTCCATGCTTTATTTCATTTTGTTGGTCAAATAAAAAAAACTAAAACATTCATTATTAAATAATATCAGTTTCAAATCATATGGGTCAGTCGTAAATAAAAATAAAGTCGATTAATATCTAAAAACTCATTTTATTATTGTTTTAAGGAACCATGCCTTTTATGGTTAGATAATATTTTTCAAACAGGTACTGTGTGCCGATATGTAAAAATGACTAAGGAAGTCTTAATTCTTCCTTTGGTTGTCTCATGTATATTGTCTCATTCACTGTAAAAGTTCTCCAAAACTGGGAGCCATTTGTGTGCAGTGCTCTGTAATGGGAAGAACTGAGACTGGCAGATGGAAGTCGGTGTCCTGACATTAGCCCTGCCATGAATTAACCGGAAGGGCTTGAACATATTCATGGAGCTTAACTTGGTTATTCGTCAAGTTCCTCAGCAAAGTGAGCCAGTGTACTAGTCAGGGTTCTCCAGAGAAACAGAACACAGGATATTTATATCAATATCTATACATATATGTCTCTATCTCTATCTATCTAAGAGATTTATTACAGGAATTGGCTCATGTAGTCATGAAGGCTGAGAAGTCCCATAATCTGCCATCTGCAAGCAAGAGTCAGATGCCCCAGCTCAGAGAGACTGAATCTACGCTCTCTCCACCTTTCTGTTCTCTTTGGGCCCTCAGTGGATTGTGTGATAGAGGGCTGTCTTCTCTACTCAGTCTATGGATTCAAATGCTACTGTCTTTCAGAAACACTCTCACAGACACACTCAGAAATAATGTTTTATCAGTTATCTGGGCATCCCTTAGCAGTCAGTTTTACAGATAAAATTAACCATCATAGCTGGGTTTTCTGCTGCTTCCTCTTCAGCCCACTTTCCAAATGGGCTGCATTTGGAGGTGCCCTCTGCTCAGACCGATTATGGTATCACGGAGAACTCTGTCCCTCCACCAAAACTCTGGAGACTTCTGGGTAAAGAGGAATAAGAACACCTAGTTCTTAAAACTTTTGAACATGGTGTACCCAGGAATTAACAGTCTAACAGTTACAGACTACTGAGGGGAAGAGAGGATGCCATTAAGACAAGGCTAGCTTAATCAGTACAGTTAATTGAGTGAATACAAAAATTAATGAACATTACTTTGCTGCTCCAGGTCAGCTGTCAAGGATTCTTTTAACATTATTCCATTCTCGAGTTGAAGGAGCTGATGAGATTATGCCAATGTAGAGATAAGCAAAACCTTTAAACTCCCACTAGATTTAAATCTTGTTTTCAACTTGACTCTCTCAAAATAGATCACACATCCTAGTGTAGCTCCCATTAATCTACTGATAGATAAACTCACTTCTCTTTCAAGACTCTTTAATTCCTTCTGAGAGTGAATTCTCTGAATTTACTGAGTAAAGAAGACAGCCCTCTATCACACAATCCACTGAGGGCCCAATTTCTGAAAAGAAAGGGAGAAAAAAAATCTAACAGCTATAACACGAACATGACCAAAAAAAGGCAAATAAATAAATGTATACATACAAATGTATACACTAAGATATGGCAAGTTGGGTTAAATTGCTTCTAAGGCACCATCCAAATCTAAGCTTTTACAAAGTATGTAAAACTTACTAGTTGTAAACCTGTCGATTGACCAGCTGCTACATCGTAAATTAGAATTTACGTCATTTGTTCAAAATCTTGCTGAAGTGGAAAACCATGGTAATAGCCCTCACAGGAACTGACCTTAAGATGTGCTTAAATATTACAGTGATAAGCCACACACTCAATAGTAAGGTACTCATTCAGAAAGCTCGAGATCTTGCCTCTGGGAGAGCTGATAGGATTAATTGTCCACATATCTTGAGTTGAAGAAATGAGAACACTATTGTTATCAACAACAAAACCAAATGAGCAAACTGCTGAATTCTACAAAAGATGGTCTGTTTTGTCTTCAGAAGACAGTAGGGGGCAAAGGAAAGGGCACTTTAAGAAAAATGACACGCATATTTTTAGCAGAAGTTATGACCACTCATGTGATTCAGCATGAAATATGTCACATCTCCATAATAGCTTCATGCTTGCTATTGTGCTAATTGAACTATGTTCTTCTGATGCATTCCCTATTCATGTTAAAGTGTGGGTAACAAATGATAGAAGTCAACAGTCACGGCAATTGGACATACTGAATATCTTTCTTCTGTGACTCTGAGTCAGTCTCCTCAGTGGATTACTAAACACATTCCAGAAATCTCATCAGTTACTACTGGTCTAAAAATGGATATAATTAAAGATGAGTAAACCTACCGCAGAGTTTGATGTAATCTTTTAGGGTAATTAACACAAACTATTTACAATGGACTTTTATTCTACTTTTCTAAAGATTGCACAAGTTCATATAGCTTACCATTACAAAAGTGACCCCCTCCCTAACGTATTCATGCAAAGAAAGGAGATACCTGCATTGTAAATGTCCTACAGGAGGTGAGATCAGTAACTGTGGTTGTAACTTTGACCTGAGCCAGGCGCTACGGGAATCCTTCACGAATTTCACGACTTTTTAAGGATTTACTGGTAGATAACTTTGGGTTTCGGAGTACTATGATTTGGAGCAATAACTTCCAAAGTCTAAGATCTGATTGTCGGAACTAAGGCTGCTCTTACTGTTATACCACTAGCTGCTTTCCATGGTGTGGAGAGACGCGGTTCATTCCTAAAATTCTCCTTTTCGGGTCTGAGACAGTGTTACTAAAACCGAGAAAATTAAGTTCCTTTTCTTGTTATTTCCTACTTTTCTTTTAGCTCAGACACTAACTTTCCATAGTAGCGCTTTCTATTCTATGTGGACTTACTAAAAAAAATCTATGAAACAGGTTAGGATGCTCCTGGATAATTAATTTTATCTCTTCTTTCATAATTGACCATTACTTCTTACAGGCCCAGTGATTTCACCTTATCTCTGTAGGCCCCACAACTGCTTCACGTGAATGAGGAATGTCCCCCTTTGCAAGTGGATGAAACTGACGCTGAGGGATGATATCAATCTCCTCGGATCACAAGGCAAAGCTGAGAACCAAATCGGGTTTGTTTCTTTCCCATATTCCAAGCTTTCGTTTATACAGTATATTCATCCTTGAAACTCTGTTATGCATGACATAGTTCAAAACCTAAATTTTTCCTTCTCTAATGAGACAGCTATGGAGGTGCTATAGGGTTTAGAAAAGAGGGAATGGTCAGATGTAAACTTGCTTCTCTGAGCTGACGCAGGGAGAGTATATGAATTCGTGAGCTGGCATACATGAGAGATGCACCAAGCACTGAGGAATAACTTGACAAAACGAGAAGTTGGATATGGATTCCAGATACTGAACTGACCTGCTTTAATTACCCTACACTTTCAGAGGCACCGTGGGATCTTCAGTGTATCGAATCTCTTTCTGACCCTTGATGAATAACACAGAAGTTTTCTTTCCATCATTACACCTAGAGTTATGCCTAGGTGTCCTGTCATATCAGGGATTAAAATAACCTTTGACTTTTTTTTTTTATTACATCAAAGAAACAGAAAACCAATTGTAGAAATCAATAGTCACAAAAACCAAAATCCTGCCTTTGAGCTAGTTTAGTCTCACTATAATTTGATCTGATTGTAACTTAGGAGTAGTTGAGAATATTTTCCTTTTTTGTAGCTGTCAAAATTCAGTTGATACATCACAGATCCCTAAAGCTATGTAGGGAACTCTTCCCTTAATTCCATCCGCTTCATTTCGAAGCATCTATAATAGTCACAGCTGGGTTCAGTGAGAGTTCTGCTTGCCATGAGTGTGAGATCATGCCCTAAGTAATTACAGTGAGCATGCAGTGAAAATATGTGGTGAGTATAATGTCAGGAAATCATGCAAATTTTATTATCATCAGTGAAGTGGTGGCTGGTGGAGAACTTGTCAGTATCTGCAACTTGAAGCCTCTAATTACCTTGATTCACTTGTAGTACCATCCACAACCTTGCTGCTGTGCTCTTCCTGACAGCGCTTTTGCACTTTACAAGGAAGGAATAATGCCACATAAATAATTTAAAAAGCAATAAATCATTTAGAGTGCCTTTAAACCAAAACCTAATGCAGTAGCTGGCTGAGTTCTTGCTATACTCATCCCTGCATTATAAGTATTTACTTTTAAAATTCACAAATCCAAAACAGGGTGGAAGAAAAAAAAAAAAAATGAGACCTAAACTCCTCTCTCCTGAATCGTCCATTTCGCCTTTTGGAGGCCCAATGGGAAATAGAGAAATTAAGTTCTAAAGAGGATAGGTCTGCTGAAAACACATATTTGCTGAGTTATGCTAGGTAAATGAGTAATTAAGACTGATGCTGCAAGCGTTGCTGGCCAAGTGTTGCAGGAGTACATAAACACGCCCCCACCGCCACCCCCACCCACACACGGGCTGGAGGGGAGAGACTGGGAAGGTTGGGGAGCAAGGTGAGAGAACAAGCTGAAATGTAACCAGTTCCCACCTACTCTCAGGGGAGGACGCTGGTCATTTCTATTCACACAAGGCAAAGCAGATAATGAAAAGCAAAAACCCATGGAGAAAAGCTTCTACTTAAGAAAAAAGGTAGGGCGCTTCCCTTATGCCGGAGGGAGAGCTGGGTCTGCCAGCCGCCTTTGGACAATTGAGCTCCTACTGGGCGCCAAGCAGGTCATTATCTCTTTTAATCCTCACAACAGTTCTCTGAGGTAGGTATGATTATCCCCTTTTATAGATAAGGACAAAACCTGAGTTAGATTAAGTAATTTGCCTGAGATCACCAGCTAGGAAGTGACTATCAGAATTAAGTCTGCATCTGACTCAGGCAGCACCCTCCCTCCATCCCCTGCTTTGTCACACCCACCTCTCCCACACGCCTGGTTTATTCTGAACTCCGTCCGTAAATTCATTTATCTGTTGGACATTTGCGAGGCAGTCCTGGCTACACTCAGAACAGTGGAATCCCAGGGGTACGAAGGGCTCCTGGAAGTCACCGGTAAGGCTGTGTCTAAAACATCCCTCTTCTCCTGCTCCAGAAGGGGTCCCCTAGCATATTCTGCCTGAACAACCCACAAGAGGGCTTGCCTGAGGCAGGTGACTGCTCCATCTCTCCTCTGTACACTGTTCCCGCCCCCCGGGGTTATTCGCCCCTAGTTCCCAGCTACCTCCTTTCCCTCATCAGGTGCTTCTCTTCTAGGGGAGACCTCCCTCAGACCTCTTAAGACCCCAGAGTGCTTTTTTTCTTCCCAAATGCCAACATTCAAACATTTATTTCCTTAGGTCAGTGGTTCTCAAAATGTTAGTCTGCGTGAGAATCACTTGGCCAGCTTACTGCTGTCTTGTGAATTAAAAATGCGTAATGCTCAGGCCCATAGTAGACATTCAGTAAATGTCTTCTTTTTTATTGTGACTTGTAAATCGTCTTCCATTTTCCTGATTTAAGTTTATCCTGGTGTTCCCCAGGCTTTGGGCATCAGTTTCTATTTACCAGCAGCAGGTTCCTTGAATTGACGCATTCAGAGGGAAAAAAGTCCTGGGAGTGGGGGGTTACCCCCTTTATTTGTACTGTGTGAAAAAGCAAGTGTAAGATACTCGTGCCCTCTCGTGTCTGCGTGGCACGCACAAATGACATTGTACTGTAACCACAGTTGTGCATCATTTATGGGAAAGTATCATTTCTTTAGAAAATGACTCAGTTCAAATGTTTTGGAAATGCTTCGAGGAAAAGAGACCTGCTCTTTAAGAACCAAAAGCAAATGGCAGAGTCCAGCTGGTAAAAGCTGCTCGAAGCTTACTATAGCTAGTGAGAGGCAAATACATTTGCTAGAGGTTAGGTTAGGCACGAATCAGAAGGGAAGCAGGTGCGGACTTGAGAGAGCTAGCTGTCCGAGAATCTTGCCTCTGGTGGGGAAAGATCGGTGTGGAGGGTGGAACCTGGTGGGTTTTTACCAACTGCTCAGAGGAGTGGTTCTCAAAAGTGTGATCCTTGGACCAGCAGCACCAGCACCACCTGAGATCTTGACAGAATGTATTCTCTGGTCTCACCCCAGACCTCCTGAATCAGAAACCTCTGGAAATACGTGATTAGCAAGCGCTCCAGGGAATTCCGATGAGCCGGAAAGGTTGACAAACCTGGCCTGGAGCCAGTTTTTTTAAGAAAGGAACAGAAAGTGTGGACAGTACATCGGCCTGAGATTTTTAGCTGTGACGGGTCTGTCACATGGCCACTGTGGTCATTCCTAAGGACGATGAAAAGCAACAGGAGGGCAGAAGTCCAGGTGATTCTCAACCCTGGCTGCACATTGGGATCACTGGGGCCACTTAAAAAATGCCATTCCAAGGAGGTTTATGCCACAGAACCAACAACAAAAACCCCAAGCCCCTAAAACAACACACAAAACCCCCCCACTCTGTGCTACCTTCTGGCCGTTCTTCTTTCACTGTCCTGAGGTGGGGCCCAGGGTCCCTGATGTTTAACATTTCCTTAGATGACTCTGATGCGGTGGCCTGGGTTCAGAACTACCGTTGTAGAGACTCAAGTTTGGAACACTGCAAAACTGAAAATACCAGAAGAGAAAGTTAGTGATATTTCCTTAAAGCGCAATGTAATTCAGGACTGGACGACAACAGCTACCCTGTAGCTGAGTCATCAGACCTGTCACAGTTAGGAGACCCCGTACGTCGCAAAGCCACTGCCATTGTTCCTAGTGTGAACTTCGGCAGCCTTTACAGTCTGCTGGGCCACACACAACCGAGCCCACTGGCCCTTCGTAACTATCCTCTGTGTGAGGGGAAGGTGGTGAAGCCCATGGGCAAAATTTTGGTGTCCTAGTGAGAAAATCCGCATTGGAGCAGCTGCCTTGCTGCTAAGCTTCCTTCCGGCTCTAAAATAAAAGCTTTACTCATAGTTCCTTTTGTTAAATGAAAAATGGACATTTGTACATTTATACGGTATTAAGAGACTACATAATCCAATGGACCACAGATCTCAATCCTTGCGTCTTTTTCCTTTGACTTTTTCATGTATTAAAGTTAACCTTTCACTTTTCAATAAATAAGATGGATGCTCTAAGGGAAATGCAGAAATTGCCAGAATTACGTTCACACTATGAACTGGGAATGTCCCCTTTACCTCTTTCAACTGAAAAGTCACAAATGACACCAGGTGCAATCTGTTAAGTTACCTGTAAAATCAAGTTTTGATGAAAGAAATGGAATTGGCCATAGAAAGAAGCTTCTCTGGCTGCCTTTTTTTTTTTTTTGACTACTATTAGATGTGCTTACATTTGATTTCATGAGTATTTTTTAGGAGCTAAAGTATAAGCTGAGAAGGGCTTGGCTGAAGCACATTCCTTTCCTCCCATTAATGATGCTCCAGATCATATGCAATTCTGAGCAGTACCATATGAAGCGTATCACACAATTATTACGGTCCATTCATCATGGTTGGTTTCAACTGCTGGGTTTGGAAACCATACAAGGATCAGATTCTAAATGGAGTACTTAGGAAGGAGATAGATATGGCTTCTACCTTTATTGCTCCTGTACTCTATCCTTTTTACATTTTAGTGTTGTAAATATTCCTTCCGCTGTAGATAAAAGATCTCTCCCTTTTCCCGTCTCTCTCTTCCCTCCTACCTTCCCTCTTTCCCTCTTACTCTAACCTATCTCCAAGAATTATTAAATCAGAAAGCTAATTTGAGAGTTTCATGTAAACTTTCATTTTTGTTGAGACACAGGTCAACCAATAATGCCAGTTTCCATTCATATGCTTTTAACAAACCTTGATACATATATGTGTTTATCAATACAACTCATATGTGCATGTGCACACAGATACATACCACCCCCCAACACACACACCTTTGCAACCTCAATAGAAAAACCACTTCCTTCTCTTTCACTGATACATGGTCTTAGAGGTAGTCAGGTGGGCCAGGACTAGATGGTGAAGTAGGAAGTAGTGGACTGGAGGAAACAAGACCTCCTCTAGTTAAAGATGCATAGCACTTTCTAACTAGCACGAAAGAATAACCGATTGTTCTCAGGGAACATAGAGATATAACGCTGGATTTCAAAAAAAATCTTATATAATTGACAGATGGGATTGAAAAATGATATTGTGATTCAGTAAGCACAGCCTACACTGCACCTCTTTCATTTGGGTCTATGTGGCTTGTGAAGACTATTTTTCAGTTATAACAGCTATTTAAAATCATATATTGAAACACACTGAATTTAAAGCCATAGCCTTGAATTGCTGTGCCACAAAGTGTTAAACCAAGTTAAAGAAAAATCCTATTGCTCTCAATTAAAATATTAATATCAGGGAGAGCAAAATTATTTGAAGTACTGATAAATATTATTTAACACACTGTTAAACACACTACATTTTATCTCCTTTTCAATCTCCATTTCATGTGTATTTATAATGTATGTTATATATATATTATATAATATGTGTATATTATATATGTTTTATATAATCTATTATATATAATGTATTATATGTTATATATAATCTATTTTATGTAAATCTGTTGATATTTCATGTTGATAAAGGAAGACCACCTATGTAGGAGACAAACTGTAACAGAAAACTAGTAACAAAAAAGATCCTAAGTGGATGAATTAGGGTATTGGGTTTATCCACAAGGAAAGGAAGTTACAGTCCTTTTTTTTGAAAAGAGACAAATGAAAAACCCTACAAATCTTATTGAATACTTATAAGGTGATTGCTTTAATTCAGCAAGAGAGAGATGCAAAGGGTACATATCAAAATAAGTTCTCCAACTATGAGTTGTAAAGTATTTCAAATACATATTAAGAGTTTGACAGGTAGAGTTCCTTTATGATATAATTTGTGTGGTTCCTATGAGACTTGGGGAATTAGATACCTAAGAGACTTCTCAAATTCCATTTTATGCCCACTGACACTCAATCATTCCTATTGTTCTCTTTTCTTCCATCATTTCCGGATATAAACAAATTTCAAGTGGGAGAAATTCCAAGCTAAAAAAAAAAAGATGGATGGATCAATAGGTATATAGAAGTATAGGTATATGGATGAGAAATACTTGAACACCCCTCAAAGTCTCCATACCTTCTGAAATCAACCCTATTAATAAAAACTTATTTGAGTCCACACCCCTAACTTTAGATCTTTATAAATTGCATAAAATTACTATTTTACCAATATATAATTATCAATAATATGTACTAAAATAAAGTAAAACATTTTGTATTGATTTACAGCATATCCAGTGGGACCTTTTCCTCATATTAGTCAGGTTTTTAATTTACCTTATCATCTTCCCCTCTCTTTCATCAGATCTGGGATGTAATTTTTGTTCACTGAACACTTTTGAGTTCTTACGACCTCCTAGGTATTATGCTAAGAGCTCTATGTTATACATAGAAAAATCGGGCTTGTCATAGCTCATCTAGTGTGTGCCTAGTGCCTCTGGAAAAAGACATACACACCCTAGATATAATAGCAGCTTTTGAATTAATGTGGGCATATGGTTCAATATAGGTTGTGATTTGTTACCTGCTAGTCCTCCATCCGGATAGGATTGCCCTCCTGGAAGGAAAGGAGATAATAAACTAAAAGCTAATGTATAAACGTTGGAAATTTTACTTATGTATATATGCATAAAATGTATATGCATCAAATACATATGCTATATTATGTATAAAATATATAGTATATATGAAATATATATGTGCTTTATATGTGCTCTCTAGCATATATTGTATAGATAAAATATCTACATTATATATTTACCTCTTAAATTTAAAGTGTTTCATTAATGTTACTAGTAGACAGTATCAATGTATATGTTATAAATGAGGAAACTGTAGTATTTTCTTTTGAGCTCTTAATTATAATTAAATGTGAGTATAAGACATATAAATTATTAAGATTTTCAGATAGGCTAAGAGCAGGAATAAGATTCAAAGTTGTGGCGCCTGGGTGGTTGAGTAGGTTGGACGTCCAACTTTTGATTTCAGTTAGGGTCTTGATCTCAGGGTCGTGAGATCGAGCTGCTTGTAGGGCTCTGCGCTGGGCATGGAGTCTCCTTGGGATTCTCTCTCTGCCCTCCCCGCCACCGCCGGAAAGATTCAAAATCTATTTGAGAACTATGTGCCAAGCACTGTGCTACATTTTTCTATGTGCATTTTCTCATCTCATCCTTTAAAATACTTCATAAACTAAGGACTTTTTATTGTTTTTAGCTTACAAATTAAAAAAAGAGGCTTAAGAGAGACTTTGTGATTTACCCCATATGACATAGTCACAAAAGGGTAGATCTAAGATTAAAAGTCCGATCAAGATTAAAATTCAGATCATTCTGGATAATCGTTAAGGCTCTGGAGTCAATTCTATTTTGATTTTCCTACCTCTTTACTAATAAGGATGCTCCAGTGCTTCATGGAGATTAAAATCAACAGCATTTCAATACAGTTTATGGGGGCATGTTCGGATACGTCACTTGTAAGTAAGCATTCTTGTGGTTTGCTTTATTATGAATTAATGATAACATAGGCTATCAGCTCTGCCAAATTTTAATATACATTCAATAACTGTTTTTATAACAGTTAAACCTTGGTCTTAAAAAATGTGTGAGTGGGTAATTGTCAAAAATATGAAATACAGCCAGACAGACGAGAAGATTAATTACTTAAACTTTCCCTGCAATTATATATATTTCTTTATACAAGCACATATTACAAGCGATCTCCGCACAGTGCTGACATGTCACAGATTCATCAATTTCTTTCCGATGAGGGATTTTAACCTTGCCCTAAGCACGGCATCTCTCTCTGTCTCTCTCCTAACTTCCAGATAAAACTCCTTAGAAGAGAGAATATTTTCTTAGGGAAACTTCATGGTCGCTCTCCCTGCAATATTCCTTGGTTTTAGAGGCTACCTTCTGGGGTCAGTGGGTTGCCCTGACCTCAGTTCCCTCTGTGGTAATATACTCTAACCCTCAGCTGAGTTCTTTTAATGAGTGCCTCAGAAACGTAATCCTAGTGAAGACAGCCATATGTGAATGAGAGCTGGATTTTGTACAGAGACAGAGAGACATGTTGAAAGCCTCAGTGTCCTCAGGATCCCTTATATCATTCTTCACTAACTGTTATTGCTTTGCTATCAGTCTTGTGCCAGATGCTGTGGTTTTTTGTTTTTTGTTTTTTTTTTTACTCAACGCATTGCAAAGTGATTGTGGGAGCAGTTTCCCACGTAGAAGGGAAAAGTAGCCATAGTGGCAGGCATTTACATTTTGAAATATGGAGGGATACATACATTAAAAATTTAATTGGTCTTTTGTGGACAGATGTTCTGTTGCCTTATTTATATTAGTACAAATTTACTACGCAGTGATATGACATCGCTCTTCTGTACTTTTGATCTCTGTAAAATCATTTTATAAAGAAATTTGTCTTATTTTATTGAATCAAAGACTACTGACCCTGTGATTAAGTCATATAATCCTTTCAAAATAAGTGGTATTACATTTCTATTTTTGCAGAAAAGCAGTAGTTTTACTGTGAAGAAGTAAAGAGGTCAGAAGAAACAATTGTCCAAGCAATTTATACTGAAGAACAGAAAACAAAAAGAGGAGAAAAGGAATGTTTTATTAAAGATAATCATGCATTAGTGAAAAGTGGATTTTGACAAAAATGAAAAATCCAGATAATTGTCTAAGTCCTTACACCTGGACATAATACAGTCAGCCGTTCCATTTAATGTTAAAATATTGTAAATTATTATTTAAAAATCATTCCTAAGAAGTAAGATGATTTCTATTTGAGATGACATGATTT